TCTATTGGACTTCTCACTTATGGAACTCTTTTCTGGCTTCTTGCTTTCCAGATAACTTTGCTCTTCAAAACTTTAAAAGCTATGTCAATCATTATGTTTTGATTTTTTAATTCCTGTTCTTTTATTGTTCTCTCTCTTTAATGATTTTTTTTTTTCTCATATTCTTTCACACTCTTGTGTCTTAGTGGCTTTATTGCATTGCTTGGGGTGAAAATAAATGCAGCATAATAGACTTTAGATTTCCTCTTTGGTATCTATACTTTTAAGTGCAGTACTAGATTGGTGGTAAGGTCTCATCATTTTACAGTTGAAATGGTTATATGTAACTGTAAGTTCTATGCTAACAGTTTCTTCTATCATACTTCTCACTTATGGAACTCTCTTTTGGTTTCTTGCTTCCCAGTTAACTTTGATCTTCAAAAATTTAAATGCAATATCAATAATTATCTTCTGCCTTTTTAATTCTTGTTCTTTTATTGTCCTCACTCCTTAACAGTATTTTTTCTCATATTCGCTAACACTCAGTAACATCTTGCATCTTAGTAGCTTTATTGCCTTGTCTGGGATGAAATGATTAAAAAAAATATATATTTATGTATAAAATTTTAAAAGTATATATGTGTTATAATGCTTGCATAAGTTTATAGCTTCTGCTTAAGAATATTGTAAGGAAAACACTGGAACAAAAGATTAGTGAAGAAAAGGTTTGATCACATGTGGGCCATGGATTAATAATACAATAATAACGAATATACAGTAGAGAGTACAGCAATGCGTATGGCTCAATGCTATGCCTTGCAACGTACTTTGTAATCCTGTTCCTATGAGTAGACATCATAGTGAATTAACAAGTCTAAGTTCAACAGTTAGTGTAGAGAGGGTTGGTCGTCTTTGTTACAATGATATGTGTGTATGTGTGTAAGAATCAAAAAATATTTTATCAGCAATATTTCTGATATCTATATAACTATTATGCAGTATTTAAGAGATCTATTTCTCTTAGACTGGTTGCCACTCAAGGTCAAAATACCTAGTTTGCCCTGCTATTTAATCTATAGTGGGGATGAGAAGAGACAGATTCATACCTTTCCCAAGGGCATTAGTGTGAAAGGGAATGTAACAGACTAGAGTGGAACTTGAACTCAGTTCGCCGATTCCACTTTCCATGCCAATATTTGTTACTCTACCTGCAAAAACTTATTTTCTCAAGTGGTGGTCTAATTTTAGTGTGATTATATTTCAAAAGTCGCAAGAATGGCAGTCAACAAATTTATATAACTTGGATTGATTTCTGACAAAGCTTTTAACAGACACTATTCAAATCTCATTCCTCAAAGTGAATTAAAGAGATTCTTTAACTGCCCAACTAAGCCTCTTATGGTATGTAATCTAGTGAAATAAAATGTTTTTGCATCACTCTCGACCATTTCTCGACTTTTTCTTTCTCCTCAAAAGCTAATTTCACATTCTCTATTCCTTCTGCAGCCCTAACCCCCTTACCAATCTGACCCATACCAAGTCCCACATTCAATGACCCGACTGCAAACCACTGCACATTACTTTCTAGAAAACCAAGGTCACTGTGACCTAGCTCATCTAATTGATAGGAAATCTTAGCAAATATCATTAAGCAGTTTGTCTTTGAACTCTACGTCCTCCTCGTTGTCTGGTTTGGTCTGGGTTGGCTAGGAGGAGCCACCCCTTTCCCTGACCATTTTAGCTTCTCAACAGTCACCACTTCCTCACCCACATCTTGCCAAAAATCTACCCTCCTTCTACCCTTTACCTGTTTTGGCCAAGGGATTTGGTTGTTAGAGGTGGTGGGAAATGTCTGGTCCTTCTGTGCCACAACAATTTCTTGGATTCGAAGACCAACTAAAATTGGTTTGGGAAATAAGTCGAGGTGGTGGGAGATGCTGATTAGGTAAGAAATGGGATGAGATAGAATGCGAAAAGTGGCTTAGATAGAATTTGGATGTCTATTAAACATTGCATTTAGTTCCAGAGTTCTTTTGTTAATCCCAGAACAAGGAACCTCAATATGAATTTAGGCTGGAGTGGAGAAGAATATGACACAAGTTAATATTCTATTACTAATCATAAATAAGTACTGAATACATCAAATGCACTTTTGACTAATTTTATTAAAAACCATAAATGAATAAAGAAAGAAAATTATTCATGTAACAACCAAGAAAAGTGTTGTTGATCTTTTAAAAATATTCAAATGATTATTGACATCTTCAAAAAGCATGTTGTGCATAAATAACTGTAATGACACTTTGATTTAAGTCCTGCTTTGTTTGTTTGTTTAGTGGCACATCAACTTCTTATGGGTCATTTAAAGTCAAAGTTTGTTCTTTTTTTTCTTTCTTTTCCTTTTTTGCCAGCAACAATTTTCTACAATTTCTGGCATGAGGTGTTAACATTACGTAAATTATTTATAGTTAAATGGAATTTTCTTGGGAACATTAATAAATTTCTTTTACAAAAATGTATTGCTGGCACCTTTTTACTATGAAAATATATTGACGGTATTTTTATATTTTCATAGAGTTTTGACCCCAGTTTGGTGGTTAACTATTTACCCACAGCTGGGACCCTAACAGGTGGACCTGAGAACAGCAATAATTAAGAGGTGGTTTCACACTTCTCAAAACTTCCTGATCAGAAACCTTGCTGCTGGATAGAGTTTATTGTCATACACAAAGTCCTGCTTTACAGATTTTACAAATGAGTGTATTTCTTGTTACAAATTTATGAGTTCTCCTATATGGTAGTGAATGCTGCACAATTTTCTCACTGATGAAGAGGAGACTGGAAGCAACAGAGATGTTCTACAGAAGGATAGTGAGAATATCATAGACAGAGTGCATGAATGAGAAAGTTTTAAAGGAAATAGAAACAAAAAGGTTACTTAGACTCAAAAACTGACAGTTGATATTTCTGAGACACAATGAGGAAAGCAGACTTGAAAAATATGACACTCACAGGACATGCTGAAGGGATGAGAAACAGAAGGAATCAGTAAGTAAACTACCTAAAGTGCTTGTGTAAATGGATGGCAGAAGAGGGAGTGGAAAAGATAGTAAAATGATACTGAAACATTGTGATAATAACAACGAAGATGTCGATGTTAGGTCGACTATAAATAATTTACATAATGATAACACCTCATGCCAGAAATTGTAGAAAAGTGTTGCTGGCAAAAAAGAAAAAAGAAAACAAAAGAAGAAAGTAAAGAAAAAAAAAGAAAAAGATAACAAACCAAAGTAGCTGGAATAATTAAATCATGGTTATAACAACAAAGATGAGGAGATTAGTTCAACTATAAACATTGTACATGTTATAGTGAAACACACCTATTCTATAGTTAATAGACTCTCCCACCTAATCTAAGTAGGAGTAGTAAGAGAAATGAGGGTCAGTCGATGTCGGACAACAGTTAGTCGAATACGAAAGTAGTCAGCGACCACAACAAGATTACTCTGCGTAATACCTATTGTATCAAGTTCCTAACATTTTGTACGCCAAACTATTTAGGACCGATTTAGTACAAATACAAGCCTCCACTGCAAAATAACTCCACAACAGTACATAATGATAATTCCACATTCCAGAAATTGTAGAAATTTTTTTCTACTGACAAAAAAAAAAAAAAAAAAAGCTACTGGAGAGCTTCAATACCTGAAACATTGCCACAACAACAAAGATGAGGAAGTTAGTCCAAATATAAACAATGTACATAATGATAATTCCTCATCTCAGAAATTGTACAAAATTTTTGCTAGGAAAAAAGAAAAAAAAAGAACAGCAAGCCAAAGAAGCCAGAAAGCTTAACAGCCAAAACATTGTCATAACAACAAAGATGAGGATGTTAGTCCATCTATAAATAATGATAATGTTTCATCCCCAAAATTGTAGAAAATTTTACAAGTGAAAAGAAAACCACAAACCAAAGAAGCTGCAGTCCAAAGATAAATAATGTAAATAAGTGAATTTTAACAGAAAGCTGTTTGTGCAAATCAGCCAGGTTGAATAAAACTTTCTCCGAGAACATAACACACAAATCAGTGCATAGTCATGAGAAAGAAACATCTGTCCAATTAGATTTGTTGTTTTCAAGATGATAGTGTCAAAACTGCATGCATTTACTTTCTCCTGACTGCCTGTCTAGTATCAATAAATTGAAAAACATTTGATATACTACAAAGAAATAAGACACAAATAAATGAGTGTTGGCATATACGCTTTCTATGTGAAAGACTCATTAAATATCAACCAAGTTATGTTAGATTTGAAGGCAAGACTTGACAGGTGTTTTGCTTCATCCAGAGATCACTGAGAGAAGGTAAGAGAATGAAAAGAAGAAGAATGCATGTAAAAAAAGAGTAGTGAAGAGCAGATACAGGGAACGAAAAGAAGAGAGAAAAAGCAATTTACATGGAACGAAATATATATGAAATCTTACATTAGCTACTTCATGTTTTATTGATATATAAAACGAATACTTACTGGAACCTAAAGGTTTATTTGTTGAGTGATTATAAAATCTGTGTAGTCAGGGTGAAACAAATGATAGCTATTTAAATGAAATATCCTCAATTTCAAAATCTCAAATTAAGTTTTATTGTAGAGATTGAGCATTTAAATTGATTTGTAAGATTGATTTGACTGATAAATAGAAATGTTTAATAACTTCAGGGTTTGCAAAAGGCAAAATACTTAAAAAATTACTGTTTTGTTTTCTTACTGCTTATTACCCCTTTACAGCTTATTTAAAGCCAGAAAATATTTTAAGATTGCAACAATGTTTTGGGGATAATGACTTACTGATACAAGTCCTACTAATTAATCCATAGCTGGTGGAGAAGAGTATTTCCCAAGAATATTTGTATGTAAGTGAATATATAAAATTACAGCTGCAATTGGAACTCGGTTCTCTGATTTCAACTTTATAGCAGTTATTCATTACACCACACACACACATCTAAGCTTAAAACACCTGATATTTCCAAGTGGTCACCTATCCAAGTACTGAACAGACTCAACATTGCTTAACTTTGATGATCGTAAGAAAACCGATGTTTCAACAGCCATGATATGGCTGTAAGCTAGAAAAATGATTGGCAGGTGCAACCATGAAGAAGTTTGTTAAAAAAATACAGATGCTTCTGATACAGGTTTGATAAAGAGAAAATCAAAGACTCTCTTATCTGTTTTCCATATTAGGAGATAGAAAAGACTTTGTCAGGCTGTGATCCTTTTTAGACATTGAGGCAGCAAAATAAAAAGCCTTAGATGTTGGGTTTTAAAGCAAGGGGTAAAACATGTTGAAATGATCCCTTGATCTCCTTTAAAAGACATCCATTAAGAAAACCAAATGAAATGAGCAACAGAATACATAAAGATTTACTTTTTCATTTTACTCTAAATATGTAAGGCAGATGGGACAAAGTCTGCGTTACTACTTACAGAAATTATCCTCAAAGTTTGAGACATCAACAAGAGGTAGTATAATGTTTTAGAGTGGGATTATAGTTAGTGAACTGGTGAGTCTCTAGCATGTCCTGGATGGTGTTAACATCTTGGATATACATTGAATTTTTAAAGGCACATGTGGTGGCATTATTCAAGAAGAAGCCAAATGCTTTTAGAAAGATAATATTTATGCATTGTAATATGCCATCGCATTCAGTGAAAAAAGTAATGAAGATATGAATAAAATGGGTTTCAGTGACACTCATTTGATGAAGTGGTCAGCTTGTTTTTTGGCCTTAATTGAATTAAAAACTTTTAAAAGTTTATGAAGAGGATGGTTTACATTAGTGGACAGCAATTTATAGCAAACATAAACTTTGAAAAGCTATTCTAAATGCTTTACACTTTCATATGCATAAATGCAACAGTCCTCAGGAACAATGAATGAATCACTTGTAAATCTACTTTCAGAAAAGTTAGTCTACATGTCATATTAAAGATGTCTTTATAACTTCATCATCATTAAAATGACATCGTTTTTAGTGTTTTTGTTCAAAACATTTAACTTTTAAACATTGCATACCTTTTATAATTTCTTATTACAATGAAATATCCTTTAGTAATTCCCATAACTTTGCTAGCAATGTAAAATTTGAAAAGTCAGGTAAAATTCATAAAATAGTTGTCATACCATAAAAGTAACATGTAGTTATATACAATTTATATATTTTTATATGAAATATACTGAAGATCAATAGGGCCATTATTTCATTAATCTGTTTGTTAGTTTGGGAATAATTAGGAAAAATTAAGTGTTTAATAATATGAGGCACAACACAGATTAAAGAAGAGAGTCTAATAGGTAAGATAAAAAACAAAGGATGAAAAGAAGTAGAAAATGGAATTTGAAGAATTCCAAGAAATGGTACCAGAGAGACAAAAATCAAAAGAAAAAAGTGATTTAAAAAAAAAAAAAAAGAGATAAAATTTTGAAAAAATTAATGTAAAAATATAAGGATAGAAAGAAGGAAACAATATACAAAACTATTATTATTTCATCATTACAGATCAGACTGAGTTTTCTCCAGTCATGATAAATTGCTGTATTCACAAAGAGGCTCCTTCTTTTAGATACCTATTGGGTCAGAAGGTCACTCCTGACCTTAAGTAGAACTCATACACATGATCAATTTCTAAAAATGCTTAAAAAAATAGCCAACTCATTTTACAGCTACAAAAAATACCTCACTCCTTCTGCTATGCTTTATCCTGACAATAGTCAAATTAGACTAAAACTGGATTATTGCTACCATAGCTGGGCTGGAATTTCTCAATCCTCACTTTCCAGACTTCAAATTTGTTTACACAAACTTATAGGTGATGACTCACAGTTTATTTCCCACATATGGAATATTGCACACCCATATCTACTCTATTGCTATTTCCAATGGTAAATGTTCAAATGTGCCACACTCTTTAGTATCACCAGTTTAGATCTTTATATAAGGGACTTGTCTAGTATATCTGTTGTAGCATAACTTTAGACGATAGTGAGTATGCCCCCATTCACATAAATGCAGTAGTAAATACTGTATGTTGGTCAGCAGTCAGAGATTCATTGTGGAATTCACTTGACTAACTTCTAGCAGTTGACTACTTCCTCTACATGCCGTTGACAAATCTTATATGTGTTGTTCTTGTCCTAAGTATTATCATTCATTACCAACCTTCATGTGACTATTCTATTCAGTAACTTTCCCTAGGTTACAACAATATCTATGGAATTGAATCATCCATATTTCTTCCAAATTCCTAAATTCAAGAAGAAAATCCCATAAGCTTTTATCCTAAAAACTGTTATTTTGTGCAACATACTCCAACCTAGATACTTCTCCAAAGACTATAATTTTAACCTCTTCAAGTCAGGGGTTAATTGTTATCCATATAATAATATTCACTTCCTTCTGCTTTCTCTTACATTCACAGAACACATCTCATTCAGTAACTCTCTACCTTGAGTGGCATGTGAGCATTAGATTAGGTGAACATTAGCATTAAAAAAATGTCAGAGAACTAAAAAGAATGGAGAGGGAAGGGAAACAGGAGAAACAAAAAGAGAAAAGATTAAAATGTAGGGGAGAAGATGGCAAATAAAATAGTGAAAAGGTTGATAAAACAAAGCAAGACTCGAGTCACTGGGTTTGGAAAAGTCACACACTCTTTGATTCAGTGGAAGAAACAAAGAAGCAATATGAAGAGGAATAAAATTGGTGAGTACTAACGTATATGAAATATCCCCTAAACATGCAGTATGGAAAGAGAACAATTTACCTATGAAGAAAAATTTTGATTCAAAATTTCAAGAAGGTTACTAAGAAGAAGGAAAGACATTTGAAAAAGCCAGAGAGGACCTCAGCCAAAACACCGTAAGTATAACAACCAAGATGAGCGTATAATAAAGATAATTCATTTAAAAAATTTAGAAGAAAAATTGAAGAAAAAAAGAGTTTGCATAAATTGGCGGCGGGGAGGGAATGGAAAGAAGAGAATTAAAAAAGAGGAAGAAAAAAATAAAAGAAGAAGATTAAAAGAAGGGAAAGAAATAAGAGAAAGAAGAGAATTGAAAGAAAAAAGAAAGAAGAGAATTGAAAGAAAGGAAGGAGAGAATTAAAAGAAATATAGAAAGAAAGAAATAAGGAAAGAAAGAAATAAGGAAAGAAAAAAATAAGGAAAGAAAGAAATAATGAAAGGGAAAGAAAGAATTAAAAGAATAGCTATAACAAAGATAATTCCACATCTGAAAAATGCGAAGAAAACTGAGAGAACAAAAGAGTTTGCATGAACTGGCAAGAAATGAAAGAAAGAGGATTAAAAAAAGAGAAAGAAGATGAAGAAAGAAAACAAAAAAAGGGAACAAAAGAAGAGAACTGAAACAATTTGGCTTTGTTGATTTTGTTTAGTAGCATATCAACTGCTAGAAACTGAAAGAAAGAAAGGAAATGGAATTAAGAGAAGAGAATTTAAAGAAGGGAAAGAAAAGATTAAAAGAATAGATTTAAAATGAGAGAAAGAAAACAAAGGAAAAATGAAAGGAGAAGAGTAAATGGATGGAACAAAAATATATATGCATGTGAAATAAGAACAGAAAATGAAAAGGCAAAATGAGAAGAGAAAGAATGTGAAAATACAAAGAAATACAGGAGAGGAAGTGAGAGAATGAAATAATTTATAAGAGAGTGAATAGAAAGGAGAGAATGCCAATAGCAAGAGAATGAAGAAAGAATGAAAGAACTTAACAGAGAGTCAGAGAAAGTACAAGTGAATGAGAGAAAGAAGGAAAGAACATAACAGTGAGAAAAAGACAGAAAGATAAAGAGTAGAAAGATAAGAGCAGAAACTACAATAGAGTGAGGAAGAATAAAAAAAGAGATAAAGTGAAAAAAAAGAAAGAAAACACGGAAGACACAAAAGACAAGGAAGAAGAGTAATATTAGGATATGAAGAATGAGAGATTGATTGACTGATCTGTACTTTACAGCTTATCAACCCTTTACAGGTTATTCAAAGCCAGGAAAAATTTTTACATTATATGAATTTCTTTTTGGAGATAATAATGATTAAGTGATTCAAGTCTTACTAATTAACCCATAGCTGGGGAGCAAAGAGGTTGATACATACCTTTCCCAAGGGTATTTGCACGTAACTGAATATAACAAACCCAATGAGAATTGGAATTGATCTCCAGTTAACAATTCTGATCCATTATCCCTTATATCACCAGCAAATCCAAGTATTCACAAGTGGTCACCCAACTACAAACTGACAAGACTTGACATTGCTTAACTTTGGTGATCATATGAGAACTAATGTTTCAATATGGTTGTAAGCCTAAGAAAGAGAGTGAGAGAAACATAGAAAGAAAATGAAATTGAGAAGCAATTGACATTATGACTTTTAATTATTGTGTAAAGATTTCAATAGCCCAACTGATTTACCCACTACTGTTCGGTAATGAAAGATGACATTGCTTATAGTAAGAAAAGGATTTTAAATTTAAATTTGACAAGATATCAAAAGATTAATTTTTCCCATCTATATAAATAAATGTGAATTTTCAACTTTGCTCCTAGATGCTGTAGCCCAGCATATACCATTTTGGAATCAGGCCGACTCCGTGAGCAAATTAAAAACATTCCGGGATGGATCTGGACCTGCAATCCTGAAATTTTGCATTTCCAAGTTTTCATTACTGCAATTGTTTTCAGATTCAATCATCTTGGTTCTACTGATAAAAACAATTAAAGGGACACAACTCTCTAGATTTCAATAGCACATGTTCAAATGAAAAAAAATTACTGTTCCCAAATTACAGTATTCCAAAATAAAATTGTCCATATTTACATTTTTTACATTGTTCAGACTGTTGTTCTCATCTTTATTGCCATATTCACAATGTTTTGGCCATTATATGCTCTGGCCTTCTTCAGGTGGATGGAATTTCATAGTGAACCCTTTATTTCATCCACTGGTTGTTCTAGTTAAGGTGAATGAAATTTCAAACTGAACCCTTTATTTCATCCACTGGGGTAGAGTGTTCTAGTTCCATGTGCCATGCCTCTTCTAGATGTCTC